ATATATACATATATATATATATGAAAGCAAGAGGCAACATATATGAAAGCAAGGCAAGTAGTTAAATAAAATACACTATTCAAAAGTATATTTTATTTATATCGCAGCCACTCTCTGACTAGTGGAGTATCTTTACATTATGTACACTCTATTACTATGAATTTTTAATTGGAACTGACGCTGAAAAGATATCGAGTGCTATCCATCTCTTGATATAAGGCTTATAAAATCAATAAAAAATTCTAATATTTTAAATTTTAAGTAATAAAGATCTCAATTATGTACATTCATTTAATAATTATTTGTAAAATATTCGAATATTATAATGTAAATACAAGATTATATGTAATTAAATGTATGATAAAAATATATAAATTGTTCACAAGAGTGATAGATAGCATCTATTTATAGTACTTTTCAATGTGTTATTAAAATATTTTAAATTGTTAACACTTCATTTAATTTTCTCTATTTATTTAAGTGGTACAAACTTACTTAAAATATAACAATTTTAATAAGACTTGAAAAAATATGTCTACCATAATAAAATCTTAGTTGTCATGACAGATTTAGCCATTCCAATATCCCATATATTGATCACATTTTCATGTCTTCCTTAAGTTGTATTATATATCTATTTTTTAATAAAAGAGATTATATAAAGAAACGTGATAAAAATTTATATTATATTATAAAATATAATTAAATTTAATATTAAACATAACATCGAGCGATTAATACATACATTAATCACTATATAATATTTAATCATGTAATGTAATCACTATGCAAACGATTCTGGTATGTAATTACATTGTACATATAAATATAGAATGCAACTACACTCTTGAGACATACTGAAAAAATTGTAATGTACTTCAAATAAAATTTGATTATATTTTTTGCTATAATGTAATTTTTTGTCAATAGTAGTAAGCTTGTTCTGTGTAATGGACTTTCTTTTTTAGTATTGTAATTTGTTAATTTAACATATTTAGAGAAACAAGTCTTTAATAGAAATACATTCACCATATTTTTGCGCTTCATGTATAAAAACAGAATTCTTTAGAAAAAAATATATGGATTTTCAGATGTTGATCTTACAATTCTCGTTTCTTAAATTTTGTGCTATACTCATTACATAACGATATTTTAAAATATAATAAAGTATATCTATTATCATCCTAAGGTTGATTTGTAATTTCTACAGTAATGTTCAGAATTATGTACACTGTCATCTTTTGAGCTTCTGTGTCGATGTACGTATAAACGAGAGAATGTTTCATTCGTACGATCATAAATTTTATATCACGTGATGAGAGTTCATAATGTACAGAATTTTAATTTTTGTTATCGTTAAACATTTATAGGAATGTTTGCGACGTCAACTTTCATTTTACGAGATTAATGCAAATAAGTTTCGTACACTTGTAATGAAAAAAGTATATATCTTATTCTATATTCTATATTTATGATTAATAAAATAAAATCTAAAATTAAATTTTTATGATCAATATATCTTTCTGTGATTTCAACATAGATTGTTTTGTTGGGTGAGAAAATCTAGGCAATATATCCTTTGACATATCATACGTATTGTATTCTCTCTCTACCTATTTTATTTACAGTCTAAAAATACATAATGCTAAATTCATATATACTATTGTAAATTTAATCATTCTAAGAACACTTATGTCAATATTTCTTTTTCTTCATTATAGAGACTGCATGGTCTTTCCAGCTTTGCAATAGTTATTTTTGAAAATTTTGTCAAAATGAAGATCACAAAGAATAATGATTTCAAATTATATGCCAATGTAAAAGCTTGGATAAAATCTGGCTCTCTTTACTTGTATTTATGTGGTGTAATCATCACATAAGCAGCATTCACCTGCGAGGTAGTATCAAAAAGTGTTATAAATCAATCGTAAAAGGAGAGAATACTTTGTGTCATAATATATCACGGCATGAGAATAAACAAGTTTGCATGTTTCCTTTCATTCAAGGAATTCTGTAGGCCTACTACTATGAAACTCGACATTATGTGGCCTACCTTATTATTTCATTCTGGCCTATAAATCAAAACCAATGCCAGTAATAATTTTTTTCACTTGAACGCTTGATATACTCTCCAGGCAGTAATACCGAAGGCTGCCAATGCAATAGTTGTATGAAGAATTCGTCTCCTCTTATCATCTTTTCTTACAAGAAACGTCGGAGATGACGGACCTAGAACAGCTAATAGTTCAACGTGCGGTAATTTGCTGGTATCAGTTTCTACTTGATACTGGCAGCAGGGATCAAATTGCCAAGAGACTGTATATAATCCGCAGGTTATAACTGACGTAAAACCTAATGGACCACAGATGTACGGTCGATCGCCCCAAACTAATCCTGTAAGAGAGATATTATAAAATATATTATTAATCAGCAATATATGCAATTTTAAGCCACAATGAATTAACATATAATTGCAACACATACATATGATATTGTAACACTCGTATAATTTATTAAGAATAATATAACAATACAGATATGCAAGATTTATAATTTTAGGCATTATGTATACTTTTTTTTTGTTCTTAATGGAAATAGGAAAAGGAAAATAAAAAATGCTGATATATCAAGCCTAGACTTAAAAATCCTGGACATTTCTTTGTAATAATAATTGTAGTGCATGAGAAGATTTTTTATATAAATTAGACAAACCTGTGACGATTGCAGCAAGACCCGACAATGCGGCAGTCTTGTGAAGACAATTTCCTACTGCTATCCATCTGGAGGTTTCATCACCTAATTTCGACGGCTCGATAACGATTAAACTGCATTCTGATTCTAGTGCTCGCTCTAACTCGTATTCAAATGTCTCGTGGGCATTTTCACTGTCGTATACTTCTCTGATAATGGCAACATTAGAGGATTCATCCCTGCAAAAAAAGAAATAAATGTATGAACTAATATTCAGATAACATGGAACAAGAATGTCACAGCAATATTGTAATATTACTGCAACATTGATTGCATTCAGCAAATAAAAACAATTTGGTAGCTTTTGTAAGACGTTTTTAATACAATTGATATTTATAAATTTAGATTCTTTGAGAAACTAAGAGAAAGATCAATCATATTAAAGAATTTTACAACACTTGCGAAGCTGCTTTTGCTGCTGAATGCAGTTATTGCTTTAACGTTCCATCCCAAACAGAATAACAAGTCACGATAACATCAAAATGACATTAAAATGAATCAGAAATGATTGAAAAATGATTTTTAATGATCATTTTGAAATTATTTTGACATTATTTTGACATCACAATGACTTGTTTTGCTTGAAATGCTATTTAAGCACTTTCTAAGCTAATGTTGCATTTTGCAACATAATTATGTTAATATTTATTAACTTCAGCATACCAGGGTCATTTCTATAAGTGCAAAATCTTTTGAAAAAAAAAAAAAAATTATTCTCATACAAAAGATTAAGTAATTTGTAATTTATTTATAACCTCATGTATAAGCTATATATAATTGCGATTTAAGCATCATAAAGTGCCCTGTAAACAACATTAAATCCTGATCTCTTTGAAATTTCTTCCTTTCATGTGTTATGTAAGACACAGATTACAGTTTATAATCAATCGATGTAAGATTTGTTTTGATCGCGTGCTAAGTCGTCCTGGTGAGATTAATTGTAAGATCAAAGTCGTGTATTTTGTGCGGTCTCGCGATTAGATGCTATTATCATAATAACGAGATAAGATGCGTATATACACACGCGCGCTCACGCACACACGCACACACACACACACGCACACATACACACACACATATATATATATATATTAAAGATACACGAAAGAACGATAGTGAAAGTGACAGAAGCCGATGTGAGCCGCTTCAACAAAATGTGATGAAAAATCGAAGTCGCGACTAAAAATCTTCTTTGTGTCCTACAAAATCGCGTCGAACGTTGTCTCGAAATCAAGAATTCAATATTCTTCGAAGTATTCGAAGTCATGAGGCCCGGAGATTTATAAAAAATTAACTCGCCGCCTGCTGCCGCGGTGACTTTGAGGTTAATTCCGTCGCAATGGCGATGGGGAATCGCGTCGCCAAGACATCGGTCCGGCGACATATCTCTCGCACGGATGGCGTTGAGACGCCGCGGACGAAGGTGGAGAATAATCCCGTCTACGAACCTGTCACCAGCTTCATCTACCATCTTCACCGTCGATCCCGCAGATACTGAAACGGCGGTCTGCATCGGACCGGAAGAAAAAGCATGACTCGTCGAACCGGACGCAAAAATCAGCTGATGGGCGCGCGCGAGTGCGAGTCACTTACGCGACTCCGGCAGTTCCGGCGATTTTAAACTTTCTGTTGGATACGTCGGTGGCAATTTGAACGTTTCGCGTCCTTCGTTTCCGGTTTCAAACGAGTCCCGAAAAAGCAAGTGCGCGAATTATTTCTCCGATCGTAATTTCTAACTTCCCAATCCAAAATGATAATGGAATCGACATCGAATCGACGTCGATTCCATTATTATTTCTGACTGGGTTGTCATACTGCGGAGACTTTGAACAAGCGACAAATAAAAAATAAATTTCTATCGAAATGTAATATCTATAAAATAATTACTTTGGAAGCGGACGGGTATTAATTAATTGTAGTATTTGATATTAATCGTACGATTAGAAATGTAGGTAGAAGAATTAGTTGTATCTTCATTTGAATAATTGCATATTTCGATTATCGAATGGATCCAAGTTAAATTTTTCAAATTAAATCTTAGAATAAATCAATTAAAACATCTGTATAATTATTTATATGTTTCTGTGTACATAACAAAGTTTATATTACAATTTCAGAAGAAACATGGGAAATATATTAATTTAAATAATGTAACCGCATTTAATTCTAATTTTAAGCACGCATATAATTATTATCGATTCAAATTTCATTATTAAATCAATTTAAACTATTTAATTTAATTTAATTTAAATTGTGTGTTACTATTATTTTTTCGTAAATTTATTGATCGGGATTGCGCTACCTTTAAGTGCAATACTGTTTCTTTATGTCATATTTGAATTTCAACAAAGAAGCAGTAAGTCTATTTCCTTACATTTCCTCTCATGCTTAGTATTGAATACAGATATTTATGGAAAAGTGAGAAACAGGATAGAAATAAAGAGTGCGGAAGGTTCAAACAAACGAGCTGACTTTACGATAAATACATGACTAATCCATTTGTTTCGTTCATACTTCTTATGCATTCCGCGTTTCAAGCGTGAGACAAAATGCGCATATCTACGTGAAGGAATTAGGAAGGAAAAGGGATGACGTTATAGAAAATACTGAAAAAGTTAAGAAACGAGTGGCTGTAATTTATCCCGTCTCATTCAGAGTCGCCGCAAAACTGGAAATTATGAAATTGTCAATTGAAAATTGAAAAACGATTAGGGAAATCAGGAAAAAGTCAGGAAATTTTTGCAAAACTCTAGAAAAAATAAAATTCTGGAAAGAAAATTCTTTAAAGAAGTATAATATGCATTATATCAGAGAGAAACTTGAAAGAGAACATGACGGCCCAAAACTTGTAACCGTAAAATGCTGCCGCGCACTACTGAACAAAGTGGATGTAAACTAGCAAAGTCCACTTTTCTGAGGATACATACGTCTACTGTAGATGATAAATCGATATTTGATTCATATAATCGTACTACATTCACAATTGTGGATCAGAAATATTTATCTCTGCAATCTTACATGCGATGTTATTTCGTTTAAAAGTATTAATATTAATGTGACAATTATTAAATAATATCAACAGACTTAACGTCGATTCTCGCCATCTAACGAGTTTATTAGTTATAAAAATATTAGTTATAAAAATATTAGTTATAAAAAAATTTACATTTTGACCACAAATAAATTGCGGATGGTGTGCTAGAAAAGTTTGAGTTATGGAAATGATCGCCTTTATTGAAGATTCAGATTATTATCTATCATAGTTTTATACATTGGAATGTAACGTTGTACGAATACTGTAATGATGAAAACTCTGTGAATCGAAATGTATATTATATATTTTTCCAGATACATATTAAATAAATTAATCAAATATCTTTTTATGCTCGTTTATTATAGTATCATTTATTATAATATCTCTTTTGAATTTTTTGAAAGATTACTTATATGGTCTTATAACGAGAAGAAAAAAATATTTTATGTAAAAAACTCACACAAATTCAAAAAATAAGATTGTATGCTTCTTACATTAAAAATGAAAGAGAAGAATTCGATAGAATACGTACATTGCCCATTCAAAATAAAATATTCTTATTAGTAAAACCATAAAAATTATTAATGGTGACACCTTAATTACCCAGTTCTTTCCTTTCCTTTCCACGAGAGCGCGTGACTTTGGGAATTTCTGTCCCCCAGAAAAGTACGACGGGACAGTCACTCTCGTCTTGTTAAGTTATTGTGTCATTTTACATCTTATTTATATACATTATTTGTAAATTTTTCATGAGCCGTACATTCCCTCTCTCTCCCTATAAGTGACCACATATTCCACTCCTACGGGATACAATATGGCAAAAATACAAGGGTTTCAAGAAGTTTATTTTTTAATATGAAAAATAAATATTTCGTGATGACTCGGAATCTAAAGATCACATCTCCGTCACATTTCCGCTGTTGGGCAAATTTAATTTGCTCGATAATGAATGACATTTGTAGGTAACCTTTTGTTTTTGGTTATGGAAAATAATATATATTGTGAGGCGCGAATAGAATTGAACGCGAATTACAAGTCCACGGATACAAAGCCATTCGACGCTTCGCGAATATGAACATGGATATTAGTATATCATACTAGAAGTAAAGAATCTGATAGTAGTGAAGAAAGTACTTTATTTTACCTCTTCTTTATAGATGTTCTCTCCTCGCTTGAAAGAGAAAGTTCATTAGATCATGCCTGTAATCATTATAAAAAAAGATTTTAGAATTTGGATGTCTTCAAATTTCATTGAGCCTTTAATACCTTGTTTATTTATTTAACAAATGAGTTTGGCAATAAATTCTTCATGTAGTGATAGAGTGAGATCGTACTAATAGAAAATGTTGAATTGCTTAATTATATAAATTAGATTTGATGATCGCAAGATCGTAAGGCGTGGAAATCGTAATAGAGATACTCAGAGTATTTCTAATATGAAATAATCCATGCTCCTATGTTATAGTAAAAATCGTTGCTAAAGTATAAATGTTATTACAATAATAAAAAGTATAATAATAAAAAGGACAACCGGAATGAATGCCTATTTCTGCGATGCTTGATTCCAACTATCTGAAGACGAGTTCTAATCTATAATCTATCGCATGCTTATTTTTCGCGCATGCTGACTGTGTTTGCATTTTAGAAATATTAAATAAAGTTTTTTAATTGTAATACTGATATATAGTACTTTGTGTTTTAATATCGATTTCTCAGGGAAATCATAATATCTTATATTAGGAGCAATATATAATTTTTTTTGCGATTTGCTCACTGTTTACATTTCTTTAATTAAAAAAAAAATGGAATGTGAATTAAATTTTATATAACTTTATCTTAAAGCTTATTAAATTCCCTTCAAAAGGATTATTTTTTAAAATTATTTTTTAAAATTCTGCTCATATATTTCTAGCATTTACCCAAAATGAACTCGGTATCTCATAATAAGAGCTTTTCCTCTATCTATTATTCCTCTATCTATTATAGTGTTTTTTTATTCAATATTATAAATGTGAATCGTTATTTCTAAGCTTTGCTTTTTAACATTTCTCATTGAGAGTGTAATGTATCCCGCACTTCTAATAATCTGCAAATGATTTGCTCTCAATGGAAGATTGTTGATTTTGTATTCGCTGAGGATGACTCCGAAAGGAGTAGAAATGTTCGAAATAAATTGAAGAACCAGCAACACCTGAGGATTATTTGTTTCTTCTATCTCTCCGCTCTTACAACAGCGTATGATTCTTATTGAATGACTTTATATTTATACTCTTATTTATATTTTATACATATATTATTTTATACATATATTAGTTAACCTCGTATATCTAATTAGTCAAGCGCCATTAGAAATGGAATCGATCCCCAGAGATCGACACTGAATTTTCTGTTCGGCCGGCATCGGTTCCTGAGAATATTGAATTTTCCGAGACAAAATTTAGATTGACTGGCAAAGGCTGACAAGGCTGATGCTAAGAAGCATCCTTCGGTGCGATGAAGCTATCTAGGCTATTATTTACAGATGGCCGTTGTATATGAAGTACTTTAGATCATTAAGTATTGACAGATTATGGAACCCTAAAACTCTATGCGCATTAAGAGAAGCGAAAGATGCTTTCTCAGTATTCGTCGAGTCTCGCCTGGATGAAGTACGTTTATAATATTTAAGAAACGCGAGTGAATTTTTTAAATTTTGTGATTTATCAATCTGCAAAAATATTCCATTAGCGATTCCATTAATATTTTTGTACGTTTACGTAATTTACGGAAAGTGATAATGTTGTGATTTAGAAAAAAATGAACGAATATAATAATATAATTAAAACTTGTATTTAGATTTTTTTGTTTCTTTAGACTAGATTTTAACTTAAAAATAGATTTTATAACTTATTATAAAATAGATTTTAATTAATTATAAAATAATTTGTTTAAAAAATTATATTTTATAGAGTTTTTGTTGTTTCAAATCACTGTGCGGCATGAAAATAAAATTGCTTCTTTTATTTTCAGAATCAAGCGAGGAGAGAAAATCTATAAAGAAGAGGGAGAATAAAACGCTTTCTTCCACTATCAGATTCTCTATCTCTAATATGATATATTAATACCCATATTTACATCTGCAAGGCGCCGAGTGGTTTCGTATTCTTGGACTTCGGTTCGTGGACTTGTAATCCGCTGATCTGAGTTCGATTCCGCTCGTGCCTCACAATATATTATTTTCCGTAATCAAAAACAAACGGTTACAATATAATTATTATTGATATCATTGTAAATTATTATTGATATCATCGTCATTGTGCAAATTAGAAATTTACCGAACAGCGGATAAAATCGCAAACCCGGTGGGGCTGGTAGAATTGAATTTTGGACTCTTTAGATTCCGAGTCAATTCACTTCGGCGTGTAGCCATCCTGCGCCCTATGATTTGTACTATCAAATATGACAGTAATCATGTTATAATACATATTTTACAACTTATGTGACAAGTATAATATTTATAATAATTTTTTTTTCAGTTTCTATTAAAACTAC